TCAGTTACAGCTTTACCAGAAAAGTAATTATAAACGTAATGAAATTTTGAAATAAACTCTGCTTGTTTGTATGTATGTTTATAACCCACATAAAATTCTCAAATACAAATGCACTTGTATAAAGCTACCACAATTCATTACCACTGTGACTGATACATATTTAATTACCTTTAGTTTTGTTTTAAGCTTTGGTCATTACCATTGATGAATGGAAAGACTATTAATAATGTATTGGATAACATGGGCAGAAACTGCATAAACGTCTCTCTCATAATCCTGACATACAACATTAAAACATACAGCTCTCTTGAAAAGACCTGATAATTTTCCCATAGCTGATAAACTATATATTGCAGAAAAATGCTATTTTCTATTTTCATTTGGTCATTATTCGGGCTATAAGATTGATTCTTGAATTGTTCAAGTGAACCACGTTATACATTTATTGACATAGTTCTCAGTCTAGGATTGTTCAAGCCCTGGAAGAACATAGCTGGTTATAAAGTTGTAACTGTTGGGCTTTTCTGGAGGTACTCAAGTACGTGGAAGTACTTGAAAAGATGCTTAGAATAGTACAATACCCTACCTTATAGTGTATTAACTTGCTTATGGTGTATGAACTTATTTTATAATTTGAGTGCCAAATCATTTGCTTTGTCACAAATTAAATGTTTATTGTAATTGTCTACAAACACATATTCTGGGACAAAAACCAGCAGTGATTTCCCTGGTATAATCCATGGCATTGAAAAATATGTGATTTTATTGAATGACACACTGTGTAAAACAACCAACAACTTGGTTTTTACAGGACATTAAAAAGCAGTGAAATGTATGGCCTATATTTTTAGTTTCTACCTCTGAAATGCACTGCTTAAAAGTGAATCCACTGGCTTTACACATCCATTGCACCCACACCCACAGTTTAAAATTTTTACCCCTGAATTTGCCACAGTCTGCTCCCTTCACTTTGCTGAGAGGTTTCCAACTTCCTTGGACACTGCAAATCATGCCATGTGTGCCTGCTAAAACCAAATTACGTGCTTCTCTGGCACTGTTTTCCTCTTTCCTTCTGTTGGCTTAAGTGGCTGAGAAACTAAACAGGTTTCTGTGTAGCCAAGATGAAATCTCTTTCCCCTTCCTTCTGCTCAGTGCATAAAATCAGTTATAGGTCATGTCACATGAAATTCTACAGCTCCAGGAAACCTTCTAGCACCTGCTAGCAAAGATCAGACAATGCAGGAAGCACCTTTCTCTGATAAAAAAGAGAAACAAGTCTCCTCCTCCACTTGGAGTCACGTAGTGAGAGCTCCCCTTCCTGGCTAAATCTGCCTGAAATACTAAATCTCAGCAGGATTTTTTTTTTTTCTTTACTTAGAGCAACACTGCTCAAAGATGTGTTTGAAAAGGTTTAGCTAATAGCATTTGGACAAACCTCTCACATGTCACCCACACTGTGTTTTTTTTCTCTTTTCTTTGAAACATGGCTTTGGCTGCTATGGCTGCTTAGAAAAATTTCACAAGTGTGAAATGACTGTAACCTATGCTGAGTTATCAGCAAGCAGTGCCAAGAGAAGTGTTAGGAGAAGCTCTGAGGAAACCATTCAGGGACTACTGGGGGGCGTGGGATTCAAATCCAACTGCTCATACAACAGAGGCTGACGCCTTATAAGCAGTCAAAGATTTTGTCCAGCTGTATGTTGAAGCAGCAGCCTGAGCACAGTAAGAACTTCTAATACATTCTGTAAATTCATGTAGTTAAATAATTACAAATACAACCCTAATGGGAGTTGTACTGAACAGGTGTTAAGGTTTTAACAGCCTTTTTTATCTCAGCAGAGGAGAATCTGAGTGGTACTGAGCAACTTTTGACTGCGTGACAACAGATTCACTCAAAGTAACAAAGGCTTGAGGTGGGGGGGGTGGGGAGTAGACGTAGAAAAAGCACTGTTCATCCTAAATATGTCTCCTGTAGTCTCTGCAAAGCTCACAGCAAGATCTTCATTCTATATCAGATAAGGGTATGTGCAACTAATACATCCCATGATAAATGATTTGTAACTTTTCAACAGCTTGGTGAACAGGGGCAACAGCCTAGAGCCAGGAATGTAAACTAATTAATTTACACAGAGGTGTAAGTTGAGCAAATTGAAAGAGGAAGGAGAAATAGCTCAAACCAGAAATCCAGCCAAAAGGAAGGAGGATCCTGAGTTCTGATTGGGTGGTAAGGTGCAGTGCTTGATCACAGAGATCCAAGAACTGGGAGGGACAAGACGTATATCATTTTAGGCACAGCAGGTATAGGGTGAAGCCTATAGGAAAGGCAGCGAGCTGAGCTCTGGCAACTTTTTCTATAGGGGGCATTCCAATGCACTTTAATGCATGCTCAGTGCTGTAAATGCAATGGAGCAAGTCCTTCTTTTACATCAAAAAGCTAAACAGTAAATACACTTCAATAGCACATTCAAGGGCAAGAGAAGAGGTTTTAGCCAGGTCTCTGAAACACACAATCAAAGACATTCAAATACATCATTTAATGTACCTAGGTTTGAACAAATATTTCTCATTTTAATGACCAACGAATTGGAAAAAAGAGAAGAAAAAAAAAAGAAAAAACCACTTGGAAAAATTGGGGCTTCATTGGTAAAATAATAGAAAACTAAAGAAATAGGAGCCATTCAGAGGCAGAACTCTGATGGTGCTGACTAGACAAAACTGCTTGTTTGTCTACAGCTTCAAAATGTTAGCTTGTTGCTATTGTTAGGTTAGAATTTTATAATTTTTGGATGATACCGCTTTTATTTTTTCTTAAATAGTAGTTAGAAACAGAGTTGCTCAGGCAGTGTGCCAGCGTACTAATTTGACTTTCAAGGTTTTGAGAAACACTAGTAAGTGGGATGCTTGAGGGGTGCCAACCCCTCTCTAATAGCATGTATATGAAACTATACTTTTATATGGTTTGTTTTTCATCAGATATCACTGATAAAAGAGACTGGGAGCAGGAGAACATCCAGGAGTACCAGGACTCCCCAACTCAGTCAGCACTACCCCATGTTACGTGGGGCACCTGTGAAACTGAGAGTGACTTTATATATGGGGAAGTGGAGAATCGATTAGATTTACTTCAAGAACAACTCAACAGGTAAAAACAGAGATAAGACCAAAAAAAGATATGTGTGAAAGAGTACATAATACAACTGATATTAAGGATGCTACAGGAGGAATGAATTTGCACAGGAAGTTTCCAAAAGCATTCAGCTCTACAGAAGCTCAAAAGTACAAAAATATGCTTGATGGGAATATCACTTTGTTGTCTATATGTATACTAAGGAGCCTAAATATCACCTAAGTTCAGTCTTCCAGATTCTTGGAAAAACCTTTTCTGGGAATGCTGGGTACAAAATTTTAAATTCATTGCCAAAATTTACCTCGAGGTACCCAGATTAGCTGCTCTGAATTGCCTTGCAGAAGAGCCTTTCTCCTCAATTGACTGTTTAGGAGACCAGCTTTTTCATGAAGAAACTCTAGTGAAGCACCTAAACTTGTTAAATTTAAATCTCCCCTCACCTAGAGTGCTCTTCCCTTAACAGTGATTCCTAGATATTTACATATCCCCAAAAGGTCAATTTTCAGTATCTTTAATAACTGAAGTACTCTTTCTTTCCTGTACACCCAAAGTAAACCAGCTGCCTTGTTTAAAAAAGATAAATACCCTTTTTGATGAATTGACTTATTTTGCAACTGTCTCTATAATAAGACATGGGAGTATGCAAAGGCAAAATACTTATATCTGTTACAACAGAAATGAGATGCTTTTCTTGTCAGAATCCATTATTACCTTTGCTTAAGAAACTGTCTCTTCCTTCTCTCTTTTGCTCTCTGAGACACTACTCTTCGTTGGCAGCTAAGCAGCATAGCTTATTGCATCTTAAAAATACGGTTACAGAATTTTGATCCATCCTACACTACAATTTACCATGTAATTTCACTTAATTTTAAATTGCCCTATGCTTAGGTCTTTGGCTTTTTTATTATTTTCATTCTGCAATTCCATTACTTTCAATATTTTTCCATGACAAATACCATGACACGCACTCAGCCCTAATTATACTTTAGTAGCTCTTCATTGGCATTCTGTGCTGTATATTTTAGCAATCAGTTTAAAGCCAGGTTAACTGCATATTGCTTCCTTCATCTACCATAAGCCAATCAAACCATAGTATTTTTCATTTCTGAATACTATATAGTACATTTAAAAGACATTTTTAACACATAAGCCTAAATTGCCATAATTTCTAATTGCAGTAACGTCAAGTAATCTAAGTAACTGTAAATGTCACATAACTAAACAGCTGCATGTTCCCCATCAACAGTGCATAGTCTTTCAGTTACATTTCTTTTCCTGAAATCCTAAGCTCTTGAAACTGAAGTTATATCTCGAATTTACCCATAGTTTTATCAAATTCTTATGCAAATTCTCAGTATTTTTTGAGTGAGAAAATATCATTGTTGCTGATAAACTGATTTAAATTGCCATGGATTTTATTAAATCATTTTATTCTTTAACTCTTCTCATGTTTTTAAAGCTTTTCATGCTTTCTGGATTTGGGCCCTTGCTGGGTCTTCTATGAATGTAAAAGACAATATTCTACACTGCTTATGTCAGATCTGACCTGCTGGACTAAAAATTAGGGTCACTTCTTTCTGACCTTTTCCACACCAAGTTAGGGATTGGCATAACACTCAAATTATTAAATGGATATAGAAGGCTGGAAAGCCTTTGTAAAAGGAAGATGTCCCTAGAGCTATCTCTGTTTCTCCTCTTTAAGCAACTGGAATTTCATAGAGGCTGTGGGCCAAGCATCTAAGGTTCTCCTGTTTGTTCATCCTTGGGTGGCGTGACAGGGACTTGTTTTTAATTTTGGAGAAAGGAGGGAGAAATAATGTATGCAATGATGATGAATAAAGACTACCAGAGGTACTCTTTGATTTCAAGTACTAGGAAACTCCCATCAAGTACTAACAACGTAAGAAGGGAGTTAATTTTCAGAGTTAATTTCAGAGGTTATTTCAGAGTTAATTCCAAGCCAAAGACAATCATTGATGCAAGTCCTCCAATGCTAAATCCCTTTTATTCACTGAGATGTTAAGACCCAGGTTTAGCAGATGGAAGCTCTCTGGATGGTGGCATGCTGCTGCTGCTGCAGTATTTTCCCCTGTGGCATCAGCATCATGCTTGTGTGAGATCAGTACATTTGCAAGTAGCAAAGAACCCAAGGGAGCTGAAGAAGAGGGTGAGGAGGGCATGACTGACTGTAACTCTGGGTTTGGGCTTTTCTCTATGAGAGCCGATGACACAAAACCAGCTTCTCCTGATAAATGAAGAAAGAGCATCCTAAATATTCTTTGGACATACCTTTTGGATTAATTTCATAGACGCTTTTATAAATAAATGACACAGGTAATGGACAACTCCAACATGATAAAAATAATATCAAACAGTGAAGCACTTGGTGAAAGCAAAAATCTGTCAGCACAGGATCAATTCTGCGGCTGTAGGGAGCCCAAGTAGTAACATTCACAACATTAAAGGCTGCTGACAAAGATTTGTTTATGCTGTCAGAAGATGAGTTGCAATACAGAAGGCTGTATATCTGCGGTACAGTCTGTCATAGCATGTTCTGTAGCCTTCCAGCAGCTGGGGAGGCACAGCAGGCATTACCTATTGCTGAGTTAGTCACGGATCTTGGCAAGACCATTTGAAAACCATTTCAGTGCTATGGAACAGTAAGTGCAAACAACATAAGCACCTCAAGTGTTTCAGAAGTCATATACAAATTTATGAAAAGGGAAAAAAAGAGGAAAAAAGCTACTAAACCTGAACATCAGAAATGCTGACTTTAATTATGAGGTCTAAATAAGTCTGAGTAAATTTTCACAGTAAGGAGACTTGGGCTGTTGGGTTTTTTTAATGATCTTGAAAACATCTTTCTTTTTTTAACTGTGGAAAAGCACAAATGTGGTTTTCTGCTTTCTGCCTATTTCAGTGCATTGTATTAGCATTGAGAATGTCAGATTAATTGTCAGATGTGTAAGAAATAGTGTCCCACCCTCAGCCAGTACAAATCAATGTAGTTACAATTAAGAGAGTATTCCAGTTAATTTCAGCCAAAGGCCTGGTCCCCTGTGTTACTTTTTGTTGCAAACATAACAAACAGTAATGAACTTATCCTTCATGTAGCAAAAAGATCAGAGACAAGCATATAGATATGATCTGCATGGGAAAGGGAGAACCAGCACGCTTTGGAAGGGCTCAGTACTCCCTCTTCTGTTCTTTCCTGTTTAAGACATGGTCATGTCATAACAAGCAATATTTTGCTTTATTAATAAGCTGCAGGTGCCTCTTGAATGCACCTGTAATCAGTATGTTAGAATATACCTATTCCTGACCATGAGTTAACTGATTTTGTGTTACTTCTCTAGGCTTGAATCCCAAATGACTGCTGATATCCAAACCATCCTGCAGCTTCTGCAAAGGCAGTCCACGCTCATTCCACCTGCCTATAGCATGGTGACTGCGGGTGCAGAGTATCAACAGCCAGCAATCCAGGTGATACAAAAGCTTCAGCCTGCAGCATCAATTAAAACAGACAGAAGTTTCAGTCCTTCATCTCAGGTGTGTATACGTCCAATAAGATCAAAAGAGGTTTGCTAATCTGTTTAGTTTATGATGGAAGAAACGCATACTAATCTAGGTGCTTGGTCACTAGTTTAAGGAATATGAAATTATTATTTCGAGCTAGACCTCCACAGTGGACTTAGATACCACAGTTTCAGAGGCTACATTTTCTGTGAGGTTTGTAGAGATTCATACAATTATCTTATAAGCAGACTTATTTACTTATAATTATCACGGTCTTCACAAAAGTTTGCAGAAATGACAAATACTAGACATGGGTGTAAACCACAAACACTTTCCAAGCATCAGACCTGCCTGCATGGGTGCATCTGCCATTCATGAAGTCCTCAGAAGCACCACAACTATGTTTCCCTCAAGGTACAGGCCAGCCAAGACCAGCTGATGTAGCACGATGGTTGTACACATATGGAAGTGGGAGGGGCTAAAACCATTCTTATGTCCAGTCCCCTGCTAGTGCTGGAAATAGGAACATACAAAGCTGTGACATACCTGTGTTTCCCAATACATGTCTTACACCCCAGTTCTGTTCAGACAAAACGTGACGATTTTCCAAATTTGTTTGGGATTTCTGCAGTTTAACAGCTTGGGCAGAGATGTGGCATATTATTTGCAAACAGGCTGCTGCACGTGGAGAAATCCCAAATCGGTCATGTAGCACACCACTAGTAATTCCGGCGTGCTTGGCTGTGTCAGATTCCTCGTGCGTATGCTGGAACACATAAGGACACTGTAAGTCCAACACATCCAGAAGGCAGCAGTTTGCGTGCAGAAAGATTATTGGAGCAGCAGATGTGCAGCAGTAGTTTTCGGAAGTGTAAACTCACCGTGCATATACCTGCCCAAAATATATACACACCTCTCTGAACAGAAATATGGCCACCTTCTGCAAACATCAGCAGGTGCACTGCACACTTCACACAAATTCCAAGTTTAAAAGTGAAGGAGAACAGAGTGCTGAGACTGGAATCCAATGGTTATAATGTTCAGAATGATGCAATTCCAGAGTTATGTTCTGAAACAAAATTGCAAATTCAAGAATGTTGAAATCCATACTCTTAGATCAGGTCTCAAGAATATTCAGTACTTGAGAAAGGGCTGTTCATATGTGTATCTTGATGTCATATGAGCAAGTCTGAGGAGGGGACAAGATATCCAGACATCTACAATTAATCAACAGAATTGCATTCAATTACATTAAATCAAATGCAGTACCATGTAAAAATATTTCAGTACACTGCTTAATTTTCAAAAGTGGTTTTCCAGCAACCGTCTGAATGTGCTAATTTTGAGCAGAGCAAGAGCCTGGAAGCAACCGATTTAATTATTACCATCTTGGTTTTTCTCCTTCCTTCCAGTGTCCTGAATTTCTAGACCTTGAAAAATCGAAACTTAAATCCAAAGAATCCCTCTCAAGTGGAGTGCATCTTAACACAGCATCAGAAGACAACCTGGCTTCTTTTTTAGATCAAGAACATGACCGGTCTGTAGAGTGTCCCCCACAGCATTGTAAAACTTATCTCCAGCCAATTAGGCACCCTTCCTTGCCAGAATCTTCACTAAGCACTGTAGGAATCTTGAGTCTTCATAGGCATGTTTCTGATCCTGGTCTTCCTGGGAAATAATACTTTTATACTATTACTTCACATAAAAATGTAAGTGCTTTTAATGGCTGTTTTTCTTTTTTTTTTTTCTTTTTTTTTTTTGTATTTAAATCCTCTATACTTGACTCAGGGGCTACAAGGAATATACCATTATATGCAAAAGTACTGTATATTTTCCTAAATCTGAAGCTTGTAAGGTAAAGTTGAGCAGTTCTGATGTAAATATATATATATATTACACACACACCAACTGTATGTTCCAAATGTAAAACTGCCAGCATTCTCAAGGCACCTTATATTTTTATTTTTTTTTAAATAACATGCATGTTCTGAAATTATGTTGCATGGAGATTACCATTTACTGCTGTCATGGAAATAGTATTTTATTGTGGATATGTCTTCAGAGCAAATAGGAGACCAATAACAATAATTCATATAGAAAAAAAAACCCTCCTACCTGACCAAGCTAAAATTCAAGCAAAATCTTCTAGCTCACTTTTGAAAATTGATTTATCTTTCCTGTAGTGAGCTTTCTACAATACATCACAGTGATTCTGAATCTAGAGAAAGAAGGATAGAGAAACCAGCCTCCTTCCAAATGAGTTGAAGTAGGGCAGTATTTTAAGAGACTGGAAAACTCTGCCACATGCTGGAAAGTATCACCATAGGCTGCATCCACAGAACGGCACTAATTTGTTTCCAGTACTTTTTGTTTAAACAAAAAAATTGCACCATAGAAGTTAGCTGCCATGAGCAAGCAGGTACTCTTCATCTGTCAAACAAACATAATCAAATGCAATAAATCTGATTTCTATATAATACAGAAGACTGTGTCCCTTTTGTTTACTACAAATTATTAACAATGTTTAATTAAAAAATACTTTACACATTTTTGGTTTATAATTATTAGGGTGGTTGTTTGCAGTTATCTGTTTTTACTGACTCACCCCTCTACAATGATCCTAAATAGGGTATATATGTATGTGGACACACACATACACCACGCACACATTCCTGTATGTGTGCATGTGTGTATTTTATATATGTACATATGTGTGTACATATGTGTGTATATATCTATATACACACATACACACAAGTGTGTGTATATACCTACACTTACATGTAGGAGTATAGATATAGAGAGAGATATATATATGTATATATGTAAAATCACTTTCAGGAACAATTGTACACTTTCTTATTACAAAATGAGTAAGCTTAGCTTGTGTCCAAAGCTGACTACATTAGAATAAAATGATTTAAGGTCTGTAGGCTTTAAATACAGTATGTACTGTATATGCATAATGCTTTGTGAATACTTAGATTTAATTTTATTAAAATATTATTCTGCTTCAAACGTTGTGTTTATTTTAGAAGGAACTGACCTTTTTATTACTGTTTTTAAATATTTAAAGATGTTCACATGATTTTCTAATCTTAAAGCTTTAATGTGAAATTCCTCTAGGAAGAGAACTGGTTTCAGAAAAGCATGTAAACCAGTTGCAGGGGGGAGCAGTTAAATTTTAAAACCAAATTAAACCCTCTGTTTTCAACCAGTGCTACAGAGTAATGCAATAGTGGTTGACCCTCACATTAACAGATACATATATTATATGTTGGGGTCAGAATGATACATAACATTTTTAGTCATATACAGCCAGTAGATAAACCCAAGGTGGCTGAATCTTCTCTCATTTAACATTGTGCACGTTGAGCTACTGAGCGAGGCTCTGCATATCAAGAAACCTTTGCATATCAAGAAACAAAAATGAATTAACTGAAAACCTTTGTAAGTGAAGCGAAACCAACCCTTCCCATACAAGATCAAATTTTCTTCTGCTTCATGCTGCTGTTGATTGTTGAAAGGTCCAAATGCCACAACATGCTGACTGCTCTTACCTCTACCATGACGACAGGAGGTCTGCACTGCATAGTGTCTTGCAAGATCAGATCCCAGGTGACAGCATCATTGGGCCAGTCAGAATCTCTGCCTGCATATACTCCACTGAAACAGGAGTACTGAATAACAAAGTGAAATAGCTTCTGCTTTTTCTTTTTAAATAGCAAGCGTTAACAACTTCTGCTCTATCTCAATCTAGTAACTGATATTAATGTCTGTTACAAAGAACAAGCTAGCACATTTTTTAAAAAAGTATTGTGATTATGCTAGATTCAAAACAGTCTGGTATAAATTAAAAATAAAATTAATGAAAAAAGCATAATGGATGAGCATTACTTTACAAAATGCCCTTTGTCCAATTTCATCACTTGGTATTTCACATTAAGGCAAAGAGACTGAGCAAAACAGGTGGACTGGGGAAGAAGTGTTGCGGAAGAGGAAAAACAACAACAATTTCAATTAGTCCAAGTGAAGGAAAAGCTCCATCCCTTACTCCTTTTCTTGGCTCAAAGAGACTTTGTTCCTTCTCTTCGTCTGTATTTATCAGGAAGAAAAATCTTAAATGGGGGCAATTAAGGGAGACTTTGCAAAGTTATGGAGATTCTAAGCTCCCCAGACATCTGCCAATGAATGAAGAAACAAAATGTGAAAGATGACCACTTGGCTGGCAGTACTCTAGCTGCCCCTTCCCTGCCTTCTCAGATACCTTCTTTTCTTGTTGAAGCACTAGACGACCCACTGTTTCAAGCTTTTTTCTTTTAGAGACAGGTACAAACCATTGGTCTTGTACACATCACAATACACACCTGTAACACATCCATAGAGGCTTTCAGGACTTTGGACTTGCTTCAGCTTAGGAACACTCACGTTGGCTATTTACATTTAAAACCTGTGGCTAAAAATATGTATAAATAATAACTTATAGATACAAAGAAGTATCCTGGAAATTCAGGAATACCTAATATAGCTGAGGTATCAAAACAATTGGGGCAACCACTCCAAATGTGAGAGGTTAGACGGTACAAATCAGCAGAGCTCTTCGTGAAGTTCACCAGCTTCCACCAGCTGTGGGTCTAGTTTGGTTAAAGTACACAATAGATTGTGATGCTTTTCCACATGTAGGCTGCGCCCCAACCTGCACCATTTGCACGTGCATGTCCATCTACATGCATGAATTTACAGCAACACATGTAAGTCATGTGTCTTCACCTACCTGACTGCTGTTCCCAGGAGGCACATGACCAACTGCATGCTCTTCTCTCCTTTCACGTTCCCACTCAGTTCACTCAGCAAACAAGTTTTCTGGTCTCCCACCTCACAGTTACTGCTCATGGATGAACCTGTCTTCCCTTTCCCTGCTGCAGAGTGTGTCCTAGCAATCTGGTGAGCGCAGGTCACTCACTAGAGCTTCGGCATGACTCACCGACACCATGAGTAACATCCAAAAGCTGAAAAGCACCACTTCACACGGCCTCTGGCTGCCTGCTTAGGCAAAGCAACTTGAGTTTTTTCCCCACAGATTAATTATGAGTCCTCCTGTTTAAGAGCTGCTGAGCTAGCCTGGACACAAATAGAATAGTGAGAGACTGTAATAGCAGCATAGCAGAAGGCATGATTCCTTGAATGAAAGTTGCATATAATACCACACCTGCAGTTTAGAAGCTTTGATGTTTCTATACTCTTCTGTTAGATATTCTTACACTGTGAGTGTAAGTTTGACTCTGCGTATGTTGGCTTAAGTCAGAAATAATTAATTCCAATAGAACCAGCAGTTATATGTTATCACATTTTTCATCAGATTGGGAATTGGGTCTAGTGGGCACCGCCTCTCCATTGGTCTACAGGCTCCCTGTATACACCACAGAATGACTTTTTCCCCATATACTGAGCTCAGTCTTAACCAGAGTAACAGCTTGTTATTTTTAACAATACTTCTGCAGACCCAGAAATTGGCTTTTGGATGTTCCTAAAATGTTGTTGTGGCATCATTAGTATAGTGACATTTTCAATATCACTGAGATGATAGTAGAAAAATTGACTTTATTAAAGAAAACCTAAGAAATTATCTCCACAAAAACATCTGCACCGGTTCCACAAATGCACCAGATAAGTGTGGTATATTCCAAGCTGGCTGTACCAAGAAATAACATATAGCAGTTTATAATTCATTGGTACATTGCCAACTTTAAATACTTGTCATTAAATACTTTTTACATTTTGGGGGTGATATTATAGACATTACTTTCCTCCCTCTTACATTTTTCAGAATCTCAAATTGATGGTGTTTTTTCACAGCAAAAGCAAATGCTTCTAAAAGGCTACAGTTCGCAGAGTTCTTAGTTCCTGTAGAGCAATATAATTATATTCAGCCACCTGGAATTGACTAAAATCCAGAAAAATTTTGACAATGAGAGAAATGATGGAAATGAGCAGACAGTATTTTTGAAAAAGCACTATTAATTATGCTGACATTGTACACGATTTTAGCATTTTCTCACTGTTACATGTAAAGTTCTGCTGCATTTTGTTAACTAAGAGATTAGGTACAATGAATTTCTATGTAGCAAAGACTTAACTGATCAAAACTCAAAAACTCGAAAGCTGCTGCTTCCAACAAATCTCTGTTTCCAGCTAATGGCAAAGCTATTTTAAGAGTCATCTTTGGAAAAACAGATTAACTTAATCTATGGACATACGAAGCATGGCTCGCACTTTCTAGTTAATTTAAGGTTAAAAAAAAAAATTAAAAGCCTACATAGCTAAACTGACATCAAATGTTGATGCATGAAGTAGAAACATCTGTTCCCAAAAACGTGGAAGCAGTGGCCCAGCAGATGAATCGTGAACTCACACAGTGGGTTTTACATTCAAGGAGGCAGGTAGCAGCAACCAACCACCCTCTTCAGATCTGATTCTCAGTTTAGTCATCTTTTTCACCAAGACTGGCATATTTGAGGCTCACAAGAGCACTAGATAGCACTGAGCTCTTCTGAGAGGGAAGCGATGCTGGTCACCAAGCCCTGTTACCACACAGGATACACATTCACATCTGTTGCAGAATAATGAACTTTGCTTATAGAAAGCTGCTGCCAAATGACTCTTGTGCCACCCTTGGTCAAGTCCAGATTAATTCTGTTCAAGCCAAAGAGATACCTGCCCTCCGCTGCTGCACAAACTGGGCTTCCAGGTTCACAGGAACAACTAAAAAGTGAATTAAAATGGGTCTGATAAGCAAGGTCTGTGTGCTGAGGTTACTGGTTTGGAGGTTTTTGTTTGGTGTTTTTTTATTATTATTTTTGGTTGTTTTTTTTTTAACTTTGTTTTTAAATTGCAAGTAACTTGTGACACTTTATTCAAACCCACACCACTACTGGCAGCTGCTCCCAATGGTTGCAAACATCCAGAGTT